TTCCTGCCTGAGCAGGGGGTTGGACTAGATGACCTCCAAGGTCCCTTCCAATTTTATTATTATTATTATTATTATTATTATTATTATTGTTGTTGTTTTGTTGTTGTTGTTGTTGTTATTGGGCAGCCATTTGTCTGGAATGGAATAGGGTTTCCTGCCTGAGCAAGGGGGTTGGACTAGATGACCTCCAAGGTCCCTTCCAATTTTATTATTATTATTATTATTATTATTATTATTATTATTATTATTGTTGTTGTTGTTGTTGTTGTTGTTGTTGTTGTTTTGTTGTTGTTGTTGTTGTTATTGGGCAGCCATTTGTCCGGAATGGAATAGGGTTTCCTGCCTGAGCAAGGGGGTTGGACTAGATGACCTCCAAGGTCCCTTCCAACTTTATTATTATTATTATTATTATTATTATTATTATTATTATTATTATTATTATTATTATTATTATTATTATATTATTATTGGACAGCCATTTGTCCGGAATGGAATAGGGTTTCCTGCCTGAGCAGGGGGTTGGACTAAATGACCTCCAAGGTCCCTTCCAACTTTATTATTATTATTATTATTATTATTATTATTATTATTATTATTATTATTATTATTATTATTATTGGACAGCCATTTGTCCGGAATGGAATAGGGTTTCCTGCCTGAGCAGGGGGTTGGACTAGATGACCTCCATAGTCCCTTCCAACTTTATTATATTATTATTATTATTATTATTATTATTATTATTATTATTATTATTATTATTATTATTATTATTATGAGACTGGACAGCCATTTGTCTGAAACGGTATAGGGTTTCCTGCCTGAGCAGGGGGTTGGACTAGATGACCTCCAAGGTCCCTTCCAACTTTATTATTATTATTATTATTATTATTATTATTATTATTATTATTATTATTATTATTATCATTATTATTATTATTATTAAGAGACTGGACAGCCATTTGTCTGAAACGGTATAGGGTTTCCTGCCTGAGAAAGGGGTTGGACTAGATGGCCTCCAAGGTCCCAACTTATTATTATTATTATTATTATTATTATTATTATTATTATTTGGAAGGTCCAATAGCAATAGCACTTTTATACCGCTTTATAGTGCCTCCTCTGAGCGGTTTCCAATGTCAGCCCGTTTTCCCCCAGCTGTCCAAGTCCTCATTTTACCGACCTCGGAAGGACGGGAGGCTGAGTCAACTTTGAGCCGGTCAGGATCGAACTCCTGGCCGTGGGCAGGGTCAGACTGCAAGGCTGCAGGCACTCTAACCACTGGGCCACCAGGCCTCCTGCTGCTGGGCGCGTCCACTGCTCAGCACAAGGAGCTCAGCTAGAGCATCAAGGACACATTTTCCTAGAACTTTCCCACTGGATATTTTGCTCAAGCAACTTCTTTAATAGAGAAGCCGCCTGGAATTAAGGAGAAACTTCCTGACAGGGAGGACAATCGGCCAGCGGAACTGCTGGCCACCAGAAACCGTGGGCGCTCCATCCCTGGAGGTTTTTAAGAAGAGGCTGGACACTCCCTTGTCTTGAGATGGTCTAGGTTCTCCTGCTTGAGCGGGGGGGCTGGACTAGAAGATCTCCGAGGTCCCTTCCAGCTCTGTTCTGATTGTGAATCTGCTGTGTGGATCCCATCTCGGCGGGAATTCCCCAGAAGAGGAAGGGATCCGTTGCTCCAGGCAAGCGGTCCCTCCTCCGCCAGGAATCTCTCTCCGGGCCTCCCTCCCTGGCGCCGGATGAGAGAGGCCGGGCCGTCCGCGGCCAGGTCACGAAAGGCCGTTCCGTGCGGAGAGGACGGGCGCTCCGGAAGACGGCCGTCCCAGCAGCACCCATGCCCTCTCTGAGCAGCTCCAGCGGCTTTGGGGGCTCCGAGGCATTTTTGTACATTGCCAGGGGGAAAGCGGGCAGGTGGCGCCCCCCGCAGGTGGGTCGGTGGGTCTCTTTGCCCTCCAAGGACCGGGCGCCCCACGTGGGGCAAAGTGGTCCAGATCTTCCATTGCCACCTCTGCTTCCTGTTGCTCCGGGCCGGCTCCGCCTTCTAGGGATGCTGCCCCGCGAATGGGCCTCAGACAGCCATTCCCCCACCCGGGACTCGGAAGGCCTTTGGGCCCTGCTGACAACTGTCTGGCCTCTCTCAGCTGCGGCCTGCGTTTGTCCTTTGTCGTTTTTAATTTGTTTGTAATCGTTTTGTATCATTTTGGGATTGCAAGGACCCCCCCCCCAGGCGGCTGGAATTGCTGCGCTGGCTGCGGGATGCTCGATTCAGCGGCTGGAAGGGCAGAGGGCACCATGGCGGCCCGGAAGACACAAAAGCTGGGGTTGATGGGTTGGGGAGTGCGCCAGGCTGTGATTTGGCTGCTGTGGGTGGAAAGGGGGACTCTCCCTTCTCTCTTCCCCGTCCCCCCCAGTGCTTTTGTCTCCTGTGTGTGTGCCATCTGGGGTTCATTTCACAATGCTCCCGGGTGCCTGATTATCGTGCCTGCCGCAAACGCACAGAGGTTAAAATGTATTTATTGATGTAAACGACTACAAAGCTGACGTCAGCGTCTCCAGCTTCTTTTGGGGAGAGGTGCGCGATTCCCACCGTCACAGAGGCTACGGAAACTGGATAACGCCAACGCGCACATCCGCACAGCCCCGAAGTCTAACACGCAGCCTTTGCCCCTTTTTTTTTCTTCGAGTGCTCCGACAACAGTTCTGGGCGAGAGGCTGCTTTGGGGGGGCTGTGGGGGCTTATTCTTTTTCCTGGTGGCCCCCGGGCTCTCCGAAAAAGCTCCAGATAGGAACCCCCCCACCAGGAAATGCGGCCGGCCAGTAGGATGAAATGCTGGCTGGCGTGGATTGAAAGTCCCCCCCGCGGGGTTTCTGCAGAAGGATTGCTGCCACCCTCCAGACCCTTCCCCACAGATTGCTTTTGCCCCCCCAGCTCCCTCTAAGAGTGACCCACAGATGCCACCCCAGCCTCGTCTCCAAAGGCTGCCACCCTCTGGCCCCCCTTGCTGCCGGAACCCCTTCCCGAGGGAACTCCTATTGGGGCTGCGGTTCCCGGAGGGTGCGGCTGATGACACCGCAAGGGTCAACTTGCCCCGCTCGGCTTGTGGGCTGGTAATACAGCTTGACTTCCTCTCTTTGGAAAAGAAAGGGATGATGGTTTACGGAGTGGAGCAACTGACTAGAGCCGCCCTGTGGTGGAAACGGGGGGGGGCTAACCTCACTCCCCTCATCCGTTGTCGTTTGTGTTACACCACTGAGGATCTGGCCGTCTCTAACTCCAATCAATTAAGTGAAATTAGACGGGGAAGTCTCTCCCCTTCTCCCCCTCCCCAAAGGGGGCCAGTGGGGAATGGTCCCCCCTCCCTCAACCCCCCCCCCGGCTTTAAAGACACGGGAACACGCCAGACCCGCCGAAAGAGGGAGATGGCCAAAGGGCACACGAGTCCGGTGCCCTTTGGGAGACTGGACAGCCACTCATCTGAAAGGGCTTCCTGCCTGAGCAGGGGGTTGGACTGGATGACCTCCAAGGTCCCTTCCAAGTTATTATTATTATTATCACCATTTTTTCCTCCCTCGTTTGGAGAGAGGAGATATTTTTTCAGCAGAGAAATTTACTAGCCAGCCCATCGCTGCCCTTCTTCCAGCACTTCCGGGGTCTCCTCTGGGCCCAGCGATGCTACCCAACAGCAGAAGGGGAGCAGAGGGGAGGGGAGCAGAAGGGAGCAGCTGGCTGGGCGCTCTGCCCATGTGCCAGGGCAACATCTGGGCAAGAAGGCTCCTTCCCTGGAGCGGGAAGGCAGGACTCCAGGCCCCAGAGGTGGCATCTCTCCAGGGCAGGGACTCCGTTTCTACGGAGGGGGAATGGGGCCCACTGAGGAGGAGGAGGCCGGAGGTGAATCCCTGGGGTAGCTGAGTCTCCTGCCTGGCACAAGGGGCAGAATCCAGAGCCCCGAGGCCAAGAACGGGTGCTTCTTTTGGAAAGGCTGCGTCCCGCCGTCCTTCGGTCCTTCCGGGTTCCCAGTGGGGCTTCGTCCCAGGGGGAAACTGGCACCGTGCTGCCCAGCACCGCCTTCCCACAGCCGGGCAGCTACGGAGGGCAACGCTGGGGTACGGGCTGGGCAGTTTTCCGAGGCCCCGGCCTCCATCCTCGGCGGGCCTGACGGGCAGGTGGGGAGAAAGGCTTCCGACGCCCCCGATGGGGAGGGGTGCTTGGATTCGGGGCCGGCTCTGAGCTAGAAGGGGCTCCGGTGAAGGGTCCCTAGCCCCGCCCCTTGGCGACACCCACCACCCCCCAAGTCTCACAAGGAAGAGCCAGCCCAGGCCGTCACTGGTCCTGCCCACCCGTAGCCTGGCAGGGGTTTAGTGGGTCCTGCGACTCTCCCACCAGCCACACACCCCTGTGCAGGAGCTTGGGGGGGGTCAGACTTCGCTCTGGTGGGAAGCGGGGAGGCTGGATTGAGTCCGTGGGCTCCCCGCAAGGGACGCCCCCTCCCTGGTGCCCCCACCCCACCAAAACAGGCCCTCGGGATCTGCTCCGTCCCGTCTGCTTGGATGTGGGGAGGGAGGTGACCCCGATCGGTGGAGCAAAAGACCCCGTGCTCTGCCTTTAGTTAGCAGGCTGCCTCCCCCTCCCCATTTCCCAATGGACGGCTCTCCCCCACTTTCACCCAAATCCGGGCAGGGCCAGAGGGGGAACTCCGAGCCTGTGGGTGGGTAGGTGGGTCTCACCTGCAGAGAGCAATTATTTTCTTCCTAGGACCCCCCCTCCGCTCGAGGGAGCCCTGAGTTTTTGGACAACCCCCCAAAGAGCCACCCTCACTCCACCCCCACAAAGCCAGCGCAGCGCCAGGGAGAAGGGCAGGGTTAGGGTTCCTTGTCCCGGGCACCAGGCCAGGGTCGTTCTTAAGTGTTACACACAGGCAGATGCCCCTCCGTCCTCCGCAGCACTGCCCCTCCACACCCCCTCCCCCGTTTCCAGCTCCCCCCAAAAGGAGGCTTCACTTCTTCTGCTTCTTCTCCTTGCTCTCGGCCGCCGCCTCCGCCTCCTCCTCCGCCTCCAGCTTCCTGCGGCCCAGCGGAGTTTTCTCGTACCAGTCCTGTTCAAAGACACCGGGAAGGGGGGGGTCCTTCAGCCACGGGGAGGCTGGATGGGCCCTGAGGGGTGGGGTGGGGGGCTTCGTTTAGGGACCGTTCAGAGCGACGGCGGCACCAAAAATGCAGCTCGTGGCCCTCTTTCACGGTTACGACCATCGCAGGATCCCCCGCGGTTGTGTGGTCAAAATTCAGACGCTCGACACGACCGTGTCCTGGGGGGGTCATGTGGTCCCCTTTTACGACCCCTCCCCCGTCAATGGGGAAAGCAGCTTCACTTAGCCGCCGGGTTACTCGCTTATCAACTGCCGGGATCGCCTTAACAGAAAGAAAGGCCGTACAAGAGGGCCAAACTGACTTAATAAACGTCTCGCTTAGCAACGGAAGGTTGAATCGCGGTCGTAAGTCGAGGACCGCCCGTATACCACCCCGCAGGGCTTTTACAGCCCCCCAAACGAACAATCCGGGTCCTCGTTTTGGCGACCACGGAGGGACGGTGGAAGGCAGAGCCGAGCCTGAGCCGGTCAGGATCGAACTGCCGGCAGTGGAGGAAGGCAGAGTCGGCCTGCAGTGCCGCGCTCCAGCCACCGGGGGCTCCTCACAAGGGAGGCCGGGAGGGGAGGGGAAGGGAGGGGAGGGGCGATACCTGCAGCAGCTCCTGCTCCTCCGGGTAGACGGGGTCGGCCCTGGCCAGCATGTGCAGGAGCTCCCCGGCCCAGAGCGGCTTCTTGGGCAGCTGCAGCCTCCGCCGCTCGGTCAGCACCAGCTTCACCGCCTGCGCCAGGCTGCCCTGGCTGTAGCCGTCCGACACCTTGGCCAGGGCGCTCAGGTCCAGGCTGCTGGTCACCACCCCGCCCTGCCTCTGGATCAGCCACTGCCACGTCACTGCGGGGGGGGAGGGGGAGAGGGGAGGAAGGCAGG